AACTTTCTTTTGTCCAACCTTTGAGAGGGGATCAAACAAGTTGACGAATCCTTTCAAGGAATCGCTTCAACACTTCTGGCCTTCGTAACCCTTCCAACTATGCTTGTGGCGATTTCCACAGAAGTGGAACCTAAATCGCACGTCTAAGGGAGCCAAATGACCCTCGTCAAGCAGTCATCGAACGTTGGCACACCCGGAGATCAAATCGCACTCAATCCTGCCAAACATAATTAGTTTCTGTTCAGTTTAGCTGTTCAACTCTTAAACTACTTAAGTCTTAAAAGATATCCTGATGGCGGTATTCATGAAACACTTCAATAAAAGTATTAAAAAGATATTACGGAGAAAATATTGCATACCGATGCAGTTCTCTGTGAACGCTAGATATTTCAAGATACCATCTAAGACAAACCAAAAATACAAGTGCAACCAAGCATTGGGACTCCCAATCCCGAAATATCAGGGAATGCGCGAAACACGCTGGGCCAAATGGCACTAAACGACAGCTTTTTCTCACGGCCCACTCTTCCGAGTGTGAGACGCCAATTCGCTTGAAATGCAAACAGCTGTTGCTCGAAATTTCAGGCACAGATTACGAATATTGCATGGAAAAACCACGAAACCAGATGGTTCCAATCGATAACAAGATGTCGGATAGCGTTTTATGAGGGAGATGAAGAAAGAAGAAGATCCTCATTGTTCTTGAAGCATTTGTTTGCTGGGTGGTCTATCCAGATTATCTGGGTAAGCAGTTCACCTTAAGTTGTTAAACTCTTTGAAGCTTCTACCCTACCCGGACCTTCAAGCCGACTGAAATTAGCACATGGTTTGAATGGGTTTGACTACCATTGCGTACTACTGAAATCCGTGGTTCCCAACTAAATTGAATGCCTACTTGTCCAGAAAAATGATGTGCACAATTCAAAATCATGATCCGTCGAATTTTCACATATTGTCGTCTTTCCTAGCTAGGCTTGTACCATGCAGGGTGAGTAGCGGTCAAAAATTCGGTGTATTTGCCTTAGTGGGAGGACAGGGGAAGAGGGAGAGGAAGGGGGGGGGGGTGTGGGTTGTCTTTTTGAGAGAATGGAAAAAATAAACTGTAAAAATAGTATGAAATATGCTGCATCAGCTGCTGTATATGTCTCGCCTGTTGGATACAAATTCTCTGGAAATTTTGAGCGGAGTTGGATGTGTGTCACGTAGTACCTGTTCCACGACGGTACGCCATCAACCATACAAGGTGAGGTAGAAGTCTTGAGGGGCCGCGGGCAAGAGGGCGAAGGATGTCGAATTCATGACAGGAGGGGTATGGGAGGTTAGGGTACCCCCAGGAGGCCCGTCGCGCGGCAAGAAGGCAAAGTCAGCGGACGAGTCGCGCGCGCACTATAGGGATTTCGCGTCAAGTTAAATAGAGTGTCCCATTGCACGTCCTACATCGCACATCACGCGCTGCAACTCGTCCGACGACTCTGCCTTCTTGCCGCGCGACGGGCCTCCTGGGGGGTACCCGGAGGTTCGTACTGACCACAATGAAGCGCGGCTATCATTGGCCTTGGCCAGAGATCCCCCAGTTGCCTAAAACCTCTTATATCGCCCTATCTTGGCGCTTTATATATAAAGGTCCAAGTTAAGATTGTAACTAAGGCTCAGCCGCCTCTAGAGGGTGGCCCAAAACCTTCGAGAAACTTTGGCCAAATTTCAGTTTCTCGAAGATTTTCTGCTTTACTTTTGGAGCTGTTTGGGTTAAGGCTTGCAAATACCTCGGTTATGTAAAACTTGCAGAAAATAGGGCACTGTGGTTTCACGAGTAAATGTTTAGAAGTTCAAAAGGGAAAAGAAATTTTGTAGAAGAGCAGACATTTCAGAAAACGGCTGGACGACATATGCATGCATAGAAAAGCACAAAGGAGCGATTATTCCACGAGCGATCCAAAAGATTGATGGAGGGAAAGTAGCTGAAAGCTCCAGTGAAACGACATCAATCATTGCGCGTGTGTCTGCCCTTTTCGATATCTCTTTTTTCATTTCCTCCCCACTTTTTTCATTTTTCTCTAACTGCTTCAGGGGAAGAATCTTCTGGCAAGATTGCTGGCTTTGAAAGGTTGAATAGACTTAATTATCACTTCTGAGATACCGTTTTTAATCTCTTCTAGAACCACTTTATTGTAACGATTGATTTTTGCATCGGCCTGGCTACGTAATTTATCGCACAGGCCAAATCAAATCTATTACAATGTCGAATAGAAGTCGAATGCGTGGCGTATCCCAAGAAGAGGTTACCCAACATAGTTGTACTTACAAAGTCCTCTAATATTTATATATGGGTGTTTTTTTTGTATCACGGTAGCCATTAGGTGGAGAAGCCGGGCCGGCTCGATTCGGCTGCGACAGGGTTCTTTTTATCTTCCATAGACTCCTTGTTCTTAAACTAGGAGCTGGCATGACCTAAGGATCGCTGTTCACAGCTCGGAGCCTAGCCTCCCCCACCCTCATGTCCAGCCTTCGTTACTATGCCAAAAGCGGTAAAACTTAAGCCACCTCAGGATCTTCGAGAACGCCTTACACAGATAACCAGTCACGTCCTCTTATCTTGTGAAGTTTTGAATAAGGAAATGAATATGTTTAGCAACCCTGAAAAATAGGCTGCACGTACAAGAGCCCCTTGTTCTTAGAACTTTGATCACCTGCTGTTCCGGCTTTTGGTGTTACCATCCCAACTGGAAGTGTACTTTAGGGTGTGACGAGAACTCAGGTGTTTTGCATTGATAATCGTCTTTAGCGCGTTTCCATAAACAACCAATACCACTGCATTGGGTGGTAGCTTGGATCTCTAACGCACTATTAAGTCCGAGCGGAATATTCACCGCTAAATTTTTTTAACCAATGATTAAGAGATAGCAAGATCCAGCAGCAGTCAAACCATTTGTTAGGCAAGTTTTCAACAGGGCCTTTTTTTGTGACTTAAGGAGGTTACTATTTGGTGCGATTGCACTGTAGGTTTTTTGAGGCAAGAAAAACAAATTTTACGAGGATAAGAAAAATTCGATAACACATCCCCGTCCCCTACCCCACCCTCTCCTTCTGTCGCTTGCCAACGAAATTTCGGAGGTGGAAGTTTCCCAGGCTACCAGTTTAACTTCAATAGTTCGACCAACATTAAAACTAGAGAAGGTGAATGTCGTCATAAGATACTCTCCAGGCGTATGAGGGGGAGAGGTCGTGTAATTACGGATTTGGAGTTACCGCAGCCTTGTCTTAACATGCACCCAAAATTTCAAATTGAATTGAAACTTTATGGGAAAAAATTGAATTTTGGACTACATAAATGCTATTTAGCTGCTATTATATTATTTTTCATATATATTATTTGTCTGCTATTATCGGGGTCAGAACAAGGGGGTAGCCTTATTTCCGTTTTGTACGTGCCTCTAGACGGAAACTAGGCGAACTAGCCTCCTTTTGTGCTCGTCAGTAATTAATTAATTTTATTAGTTAGCGCTGACAAATTTCATAAAAGCTTTTAGACCTTTATGGCAAAGTTATTCTGCAAAGAAAAAAGAGCAAGAAGGTAAAAAAAAAAGTGAAAAGAAGAAAGGAAGGGAAAAGGAAAAGGAGAATAGTGGAAAAAACAAGGAAAACACATAGAATAGTGAAGTCGAGCTCCTGTTCAGAATGGGAGCTTCTCAGAAATGCATTGCTAATCTCACCAAACCAGTGACTCCCATAAAAGCACTGCGCGAAGCTGGCCAGGCCATGATTCAGAAATTTGACTGCGATACTCTAGAAGCTACATTAGAGATTGGATACCTTCGCATGCAACGCTTGTCCGGACGATTGATAGCAGCAGAAGCGGTAGGCTTTTGAATAGCTGCTTACCGTGATCAGCGGAAAGAAAAGCGATGGGATGTTGGCTACTGAGTACTTTTATTCCTGTCATATTCCCCTCTAATCGTTGTGTAGAACCGCATGCGAGTTGGGGACTATGGCACCTACCTCGCGGCGCCTTAGCAGACGTTATTTCATTTCGACATATCACATTTTATCACTTTCGCTAGCTTCTTTCTTTCTCTTCAGGCAGCGAATATAAATACGAGCTCCAGGAACCCGGTGTGGACGTGGGCGAACTTCAGATTGTCAGCGCAGGTAGGCGAAAAGAGTCCACATAATTATCGCTTCAGTCAACCGCTGTTTTCGAATCTTTCAACGGCTAAACATGCCTCAATCAGCCTCATGTACTTCAAAAAAATGGCAGTTAAGGCTGTTGGTTCATACCATTGGGACGCATTTGAGGTGTTTTCTTTTTCAAAACTCGTTGAAGGCATGCCCGAATCAAATTGGTGTGGTTCTAGCACCTGAATACGAATGTATTGGTGGGAAATGAGCTGACAGTGAGAAGGACAGACAATAATGCCATCAAAAACATTCAGTTTAAGGTTTACTCACCTTTGCAATAGGCTGTTAAGGCAATGAGAGACTAAGCGCGGACGGGAGAGTATGAGGCGAGAGAGCACAACAAATAAGACTGCGCCAGGCAGCAGCCTGATAGAAGAAGGAAAAAATTGCAGCTTCAGCAGCCTTCTTTGCAAGGTCAAGCATCTTTTCGAGTGATTTCCGTGCACAACTGCACATCTTCAATCCCTCTGGTAGCCTCCTCTACGTACCGAAGGGCATGCAATTCGCATTGAGTTGGATTGTGCCTTCAATCTTTTGCCTAACAGCAGAAGTTTTTATTCTATGATAAACACGTGCTTATTATTGCTATAATTCATTTATGCTTGCTTCATTAATGTACGATACCAAGTGGTCAACGCTTTTTCACTTGTTTATGTGTGTGGTTTGATTATTTAATCTGTTTTGTTTTCGGCATCACCGTTGCCGACACACCCCGATCCTCCATTTTGGACTTTCTCTGTTAAAAAATGCTCCTACACTTTACAACTTCCAATCTTTGCTATCGTACTCTTTTCACTCATAAACTCACATTCCACATTCCTTACTGCTGGTTCCCACTCTACATGGCGAACATCAGCTACTGCAGCCATAGCTGTTTCTTTCTCTTCAATAGACACTCCGGGGAACACCCTGAATGTGCACTCTAGCACCGCGATAGACTAAAAATGAATAGCGTTCGGGTTCCCATGGACTTATTGCGAACAAATCGTTCGGGTTACTGAAGGGCTTAGAGGGATTAGAGCGCAAGAGGCAGAAATTGTTTGAACTCTCCGTCCAGCCCCGTCAAAAATGGGTAAGTAACCCAGCTTTTCTAGCGGGGAGTTCAATAGGAGAACAGGAAAAAAGAATTTGTAAACGAAAAAAAGCATTGTTTATTGGCGATTAATTTGTGGAAGCGCTCAAAGGGTAACCTCCCGGGAGTTTGGAATCCTACTGGCTGTTTTTTTTTTTCGCGTTTTCATTGATGTGGCCACCCGCTGAGTGCAGAAATTGGAGTTATAGCTGGGCATCCACTGAATTTTTCCACTGAATTTGACAGCGGAGCGGGATAGTTGAGAGGAGGAATGCTCGCGAGCTAAGCGGCGGACCAGAGTGGCCACTTATGGCTGGAAACACATAATGACATGAGGGTCCGCCGGCGAGTGATGAAAGACCTGAGTCGTCCGATTCGAAGGCGAAGCGGACTGTGTTTCATTAGTGAGTGCGCTGGCTGGTCGCGCTCGACAATGGCCACGACCTCCACATTGTTCCAGTCGGCCTAATTGCCAGGTGGCTTTGCTACTTCTGCAACTCAAGTGGATAACGGCAGAAATCGATGCTTAGAAGTGCCACATTGGGATGCGCACGTATTCGACTTTTCCTGTGTAAATTGTGACAACTTTTGGATGTTAACTTGCGTAACACTCCAAGCGTTAGTTGCGAGTGAGCATACGGATCCACACTACTCACTGTACTGAAGCGAATCTCTCACAGAGTTTGTCGATTTCTAGACTTTCTCAGAACATTTCGCCTCGATGAAGATTCCAGGCTCCATAAGCAGTGCAAGTCAGTGAAACCTTGGACCTTTCTCAGTCTAAGTGGCAAAGGTCCAGCCTGAGACTTGTTTTAAAACGTTTTGGAAATCAGATGACACGCCAATTGTCCTTCTCTCTTGTGAATATTGGGTCTTTGCCTAGGGAAATAAAGCCTCCAACACGCCTGTCTAAGCATACAGGGGGGGGGGGCAAAAAAAAGACATTTTGCCCAGGTCGCACTTCGGCCTTTTTTTTTCTTCGCAGAGATTGCCGTCGTTGACGGAAGTTCCTCAGCAAAATATTCCCTAAATGTCCCTCTATAAGTACACGCAGGCCCTCCTTCACTACCCTCACCGTCTTCAGAATATGACGTCATCTGTCACCGTCGTCGAGCTCAGGGAGGCCTACAGTAACTGCTTCAGCCTGAAGCTCTTACATAATTTCTTGGATCGATTCAACGTGGGATAGTTTCCTAGGGACATTAGCTCTAACTATGCAAACCCCCTCGGAACCCGCCCTTCGGAACCCGTCGTAACGGTACACGATCAGTCGAGAACCCCACTGAGCTCGACCAGAGCACCATGTTTCCGGGGCAAACTTTTCTGATGCCGTCCACGTAGATGGCCACTATGAAGATTTTCTTATGAAATGAAATGCGCTCTTCAATTCTAAGTTGGGAGCACACGCTTTGAGCTGAGCAAAGTGTGATTAAATCCATTTGAGTCTGGAGACAAAATGTCTTTTTATTGCCCCCTCCTGATATATATTGTTGGAAGAGTTTCTCAAGTTACTTAATTCGATGTTGGATGCTAAACGAGGAAAAATGCTGCAAGCACGTAAGATGCCTACGTTAGAGTACTACGCGCGTACAGTCGCATAAACCGCGGTGTTCGTTTGTAAATGGTTCTTAAATAACTTTTGAAATTGACGACGCCTTGAAAACAGGACAATATCGGCTGCTTTCAGCAGCGAACTACCGAGGACAATTAATGATGTGAGGCTTTCTGATGACCTGAACAACCGAAGTTATACGAAACTTCTCGGGGCTGCTTCTAAAGTTGTGATGATGAAAAGAGGAAGGGCGAGAGCGGATGACAAGACAGACGAGGAATCAGAAGTACAATTCAGGTTAGAGGAACATTATGAATCGGTTTTAATTCACTTCCTATTGTGTGCGCCACATGTGGCACAGAATGACATTGTAACACTTAATTGACTTTTCAATAAGCCTGGCCAAACTATCTAACCTGCCAACAGAAAAGTTAAAGATTTTTTGCAGGTAATGATGAAATTATTTTGAAACTGGTGTCAAACGGCGCTGATGAAGCGTACGTTGTTGATCACTTTTTTTTCGGGTACGCCTCCTCGCATTTTGCTTCCATTGAGGATCGCTCTAACATTTTCTATGCGGATCAGCCTGGTACAGTGAATTGAGAGGGGCCGGCCGCTGTGAAATGTTGGTTGAAAATTTATTGTTTTTTATGCCCCCACACAAATTTATAGCTACTTATTAACGCGGTCCAGTGGGATGACCAAGTTTGGTGTGCACTAGACGGGTGTACACACTTGGGCATCTGATCTCCTTACCGTGCACGAGAAAAGCGGGACCGTTTGCCACTACACCACATTTGCCGTTAGATTGCTGGTCACGAAAGAAAACTGCGAAAAATTTGCGAAATACATGCTGTTGGCATACGCAGTGTGGTAACCATTAGCAAATTTATCGGGAAAACGTCGCAACGTTGAAAAGGATATTTAGGAGACGTCTAAACATTCATTCAAACTATGGCTAGAAACTCATTTGCGCATCCTGGGTGTCCAAACTAGCTAGTGGGAGCGGAAAAATTTTCGCAAAATTTGTTTGAGAGTTCCCCTCCCTGCAGGAGCACCCCTTCTGCATTGTGTGGACTTTATTGCCAAAGAATCTAACGGATCCGAGCACTCTCCTGGGAGGAAAGGGACCCAACCTGAGCCAGGAAATATGCCTGGCTCTGTTATTCGCTATGTGATTTTATAAACCCTAGGACTTACTGACAACGAAGCGAGTTTTCACGAAAATCGAAAGATTGAAAAATTCAGAGGATTCAGTAGAGCCAGCTTGAGGCTCATAATTGCAGCATACTGCCATGTGGAAGCAAGCATAGACGGAACAGGGAGGGGACTCGAAGAGCTTCAAAGGACATGTCGAAACTTCGTGTTAAGATGCGCTCTAAATGTAAACATCGGTTTGAAAAAACAGCAAAGCACGCAATCAGAGGAGGAGCTATAGTCGACTCCAAACACGAAACAGCCAAAATCGTCCCATCTGCAAATGAGACCCTGGAGAAACTGGACGGCGACATCGGGAACGCCTTCCCTTTTTGACTGGAGGACTGCGGATTCCCTCTGCAAAGTTCCTCATTGATGTGGAAAAGGGCAAAGTTTCAACCAAAACCTGTCAAGCATAAAGCACCATGACGTTAATGAAAGTCGATCGGAACAAAAATTGATCGATTTAGTGCCTACAAGGCAAAATAAATGCAAAGTACGAGCACGGCTCTTAGCGGATTTCTAGGGTACCCACAGTGCTTTCTATGGGTCACTGGTTACCTTGTATGGGCATGGGAAAACTACTGAGAATCTCCGCCTAATCGCGCTATTCTACCGGTCGCAGGCATTGTCTCCATGAACTATGGTTATAGCAGAACTGAAACCCTCGATGTTTCGAGGTTTTGTTCTTGTGCTTAACCTTCACAACATGTGGCCAAGCCGAATTCCTCGATATGCACATAAAAAAGAGCTGTACCTTGCGACTGTGCGGAATTCAACGCGATTAAGAAGAGGATAGTACATAAATAAAGAAGAGAATATGGAGTGAGCTGGTGGGGAATGTGCTGGGCCAGGTTCCAGCCAATGTCCTGTGTGGTCTCAAAATCACGCAAAAGACACAAAAAACAACCAACAGAAGCTTTTATCGATCGACTTATTGTTAGTGCTTACACTGGAACAATGCAGTACGCGAACGCAGCTTCCAGCCATTTCCTTTCTACCCATTACAAACCCCTTGCGAGCTCTGGGTAAAATCATTTTGCACTGAGGGTTTGATAGGATGTAACACTGGAGCATGGGAGGTAAAGTGTTCGCCTTTATAGATTCCACTCGGTATGCGCCATGCACTTGACTTCTATGAAGAAACGAACTGATATTTTGCATGCATCCTAGCCAATTCAATGTCTTGACGGATCGTTGAGATGTAAGTCAGTGTTTGATCCCCCTAGACAAGTACTTGCTCTATCAATGACCACGGTCGGATG